TGAGTCTGCACCTTGGCGTCCCACTTCACACCCCCTGGTCCACACAAAAACTGACCAGGATTTTAACCAACAATAACAACACCACGAAAGATCAGGAGCAGGAGGATGGTTGGAGAGCCATGCTCATGGCCTGTATATCTAGCGGGAGCGCAAGCGCATCTACTGTTAGGGAATCAGATGTCGGAGAACTGCCAGCGCATACCAGGCTGTGAGGGCCATGGTTTGCTGATACTGGCATAGCACATGCTTACAGACCTTTTGGCCCGTCAGATTACATACTGTGTAATTCAACTAACGGGCGCCTGACCTCTAACGTTATCGTTATGCTCCATCCCGTCGCCGTTTTTTCCACATTTTCGATTTTGCGCCTTTCCTGCAGCCCATAACTACCCAGCTTATCTTCCGTCCGTTTAGACCCCAGTCATGACTGTAACTACTACCGCCACTAATGGCTTACCGACGGCCTTCACCCCAATCGCCTGCCGCACCTCCCTTCTTCCCCGAGCCTCTGCTCACGGTGTGATCAAACATCTCTCCTCCGCCGCCTCCGTCCTCGAGAAGGTACGCCTCAAGGCCCTGCCGGACCTCAGCTCCGCACTCCAGGTATGTACATCCTCTCTCTTTCTTTCAGTTGTTTATTTGTGACCACTGATGCCTGCACTTTCTCGATTGTCTGGCGATCGTGGAATAGTTGTCAACGTCGAAGTCGCATCGTGAGCCAGGCGCAGTCCGCGACTGCGATCGGTGCATACACTCTATGTGATGTTACTCTGCACTCTTACGGACTAGGCCTTTTGCTCTCCGAGTTTCATCGTCCATTGGTGGAGATTCAAGTATTGGCAGGTCAAGTATTTTGAAGGCCATTGCCGTCGATAGTCGGGCCAAGGCCTCGGACTACGGCAAGATCGGCAAAGGCGTCCGTGCTGGAGATCTTCAGCAACTCTGCATCCGTCTCTACTGCAGCCATCACTGGTGATGGGTTCAAGTGAGAATCCAAAACGCCAGACCAATAAACTTCTTGTTCCAATGATCGCATCTTCTTCTTTTGAACTGCTTCCTGGAACTCACCTGTTCGCTTCTATCGACACCTACTAGTCCTTGATTCCACACGAAGCACGTCTTTAGAGAGGGGGCCTCTGATCAGTCATCGCCTTTAAAGCAACTTTAACAAGAAGACATCAAAGCCTAACTTTCAGCTTCCAAGGTTGGATTGAGTTATCTCCTCAGTAGACAACACTCCAGACACCGTACGTTAACGCCTAATGGTGGTTCAACAATGCGTGTGGTTTGCTGCGTGTTTAGGTGGGCGTTGGATCTAGGCTAGATCGTTTGTCTCAGTCAGACCTACTGGAGGTGGGTTTGGGCGCGGTGGCTAGCGTACCACGAAGCTGCTGTTTAACGTTGGTCACACACGGGTCCGAATCTCGCATGGCTAACAGGTGGCGATAATCAGTCAGAACTGTCAAGGTACAGGCAATGATAGATCAGAACGGAGCTGGCCAAGCCAGATGAACTTCAGCTCAACAGTGGGCAACAGGTCGGGTTATTAGAACCATTAGCCAGTTAACGTACTTTTTCCCGCGGCACAATCCTCCCACTCCTGTTATCATCCTGAGAGTGGGTTGTCCCGTAGGATGCAGCAGTGGCAGCCTGACAGCGCCCCTCCTTTCAAGCAATTTCCAGTCCTAACCGAGTAATAACGTCTAAAACACACTGGTGATGAAATTGCGGAAATTCGCGACAGGGATTCAGTGTATATATATCTGCTCAGCTCTTAGATCGTTTTTTCTTCCCGCATAGACTGGCCACTCGTCTGCGCACACGTCACCCGCATTCTGCGCCCACGCTCCCTTACTTGAGAAAGACACTCACGTATGCTGACTACACGACCCACCTGTTGGCTTTTTCGAGCATATCGCCTCAAAAGCCAGCCTAACCTTGCTTTTCTGCTGCTGATTATACATAGCAACATGCTGTATGTTGAATGCTTTGTAGTAATTTGCCTAGTTCTACTCCCACCTTCCTTGTGCGTTTTCCGTTGTTAAACCGCCCCAATGACCGACCAATTACACATGCGCCGCCCAGCCTCTGTAATGGCAGTAGAGTGGCATAATTTAGCAAGACATCTACATGCAGCCCAAAATCGTCGCGCTGTGACCTGGTAAAGACTTACTAAAAAAAACTATCATGCCTACCAACCCGACTTCTGAACTTTTCGGCAGATTTTACTTTCTATGCCCGTTTCTTTTGTGGCGTGTATGGCACTTGTGTATGCAGGAGTTCTCATTGGCGTCTTCTACCACTTCTGGTTACCTCGATTACCACCAACCCTAACTGGTAGTCTTGTGGAGGTAATCTTTGGTGTAATTTCCGATCTCAAGCAGTTGCGCACAAAAGCTACCTGTCCCCTTGTAGTTTTCTGTTTATGGAGGGCCACTTCTCAGTCTCATGCTCGGCGATGGCGTTTCTTGGAAAAGAATCGGACTCGATCGCTGGAACAATAACTTTGCTCGCCGACGTTTCAACCCCCAAACCCGTCATCAAGGCTAGTGGGGTCCGCAAGGACTGCAGTACTTATAAGACGCGATTGTTATACCTCTCCGCCCTCATTAAAATTGGCAGATATCTCATTCATCCTAGGTAGTCATAAGTACTTTGATGATTGCTTGACCCACCTCGTCCGGGTATTTAAATGTCGCAATTTCGTCATAAATTTAGGTTATGGACGTGAACATTACATGGCGATTGGGGTCAGAGATACTGTCAGTGGGAGCTGTGTTCGCTCATGTACTCCCTACGTGGGCAGTTACTCTGCCCAGACAAATTTTGGTGCTGAATGTGGGGAGGGGAGGTCCTTGCTCATGTGGACGGACTACGGTCGAAAGAACACGACTCAAACAGCTCGCGACTCACATGGTTGTCACCTCTCTGGAGAACTTGGGCCCTCTGGGACTTGAAAGTGTGACCCGGTTCCCTCGGATGAGTGATGACTTGTGAGCTGGCGTCATTCATCTTCACTACCATTACGTGTTCGTCCCTCCGCGTCTATAACCATCTTTCAGTCTCTCTGAGGTCTCTTTGTTCACAACTGCACCACATACAGCAAACGAATCTGGCCGTTTCCTGCTGTGGGAGCGAGTTATTCAGCCTTCTCACTTAGCGCCTGATGGTAGCCTCTGGTCTCTCTGCAACCCCCAATCCAAGTGGCATGAGACAGTGGCTGATGGCCTACGAAACACTCCTGACTTACTGCAGCGCTCGCCAACATCTGGCGTCAGTGCGCTATGCACCGGTTGGCAAAGTTATGCGAGGCCAAAGGCCCCGCTGCCATAGAATAAAACGAATCGCAAGCCCCCCGGCTAAGACCGCCTTCAGTGATATTATAGGCTAGCCAAATCGCCAAGTGATAACGCCGACAACAAACACGGGCGATGAAATTACGGTAATTAACGACTCGGATGCAAGCCAGCAGGCAGTCATTGTATCAATTACAGCCATCTATGATGTATGTGGGATCTGCTAATTTTAACAGGTTCTGGAATTCCTAGCAACAACATCACATAAATACGCCAACCCCTGTGCACCCTCCACCCTTGTCCGTAGCCGTCTCTAGTGATGGGTTCGGGTGTGAGTCTGGAGCGCCAGGCGAATACAATTCTTGTTCCTGCGGTCTGGTTTCCCTCTTTTTGACTGCTTCCAGAACCTCGTCTTTTTGGTTTCTATCGCCTTTATAATGCTCCCAAACTCTGACACGATCTAAAGACCCAGACACCTGCTTCGGTGATTTACTGCGCTAAACGGGATAACCAGGAGGGTGCTCGGTTAATTATTGGACCCCGGGGCATTGACTGCGTTGTTTTGGTAGTGGTGAGGATCCTCAGCCTTATTTATCCGATACGGGAAGCTAGCTGTGGAGAGGGTTGTTTGCACCGAGGAAATCAGACGCCGGTCGATTTTGTTATTCTCCTTGATCCACAAGCAAAACGGCATTTGCAATTGTTTTCCCTGGTAGTCATCCGATATCAGCATAGTTTCCCACCGGCTGGTTTTTTGAAGTGTTGCTCAGGCCACACAATACATTTCCGTTGGAGTCATGGGTACCGCGGAACACCAGAATGTTAGACTCCTGTGAGTACTGTCAAAACAATGGAAGATTTTTTTGGAATTTGAGAGATTTTCTCATGGATTTCTTGACGATCGCCGTGTCATCCGACTCAGTGGCGGAGAGGAGTGTGATTGGTACGCTTGAAGGTCAGGGGTTGAGTGGCTGCGTTGACTGTTCTCACGCTACAAGTGAGAGCTGAAGGGAGATTGAAATCGTAGTTCACCAGGGGTAGGACAGTTTTTTACTTATAGAAACAACCCTCGAACATTATTTTCAAATTTGACGACAAGGTCGACGAGCAGAGAAGAGCGCAAGTATAATTGCACACAATGGTCACGTAACCCGACAGTGAAGTCTAACAACCACAAGACCAATCAAGAATGAACCATTAGGACAGGTGTATCAGAATCCTACTTCATGTGCCCCCCTCTCCCTCCCAAACGGGTCACGTGATAGATGCGTTGGACCAACACGGGGAGCCATATCGAATTCTGGCAGGCGTTATCGGAATGCGCCTCATGACAAATGCCAGAGTCCGTTTCTGGCTGAGGTCGCGCACATTGAGACCCCTGCAGCCCTCCCCATTGTTGTTGTTGTTGTTGGTTGAAATCCTGGTCATTTGCTATGAGGACCAAGGGGTTGTGGAGTGGAGTGCCGAGGTGCGGGCTCGGCCGTGCCACCCACCTGCGCCTTTCCCTACCTCCCGTCTTCTTGTCTCTGTCTTGGCGCCGGGTCCAGATGGGTGAGAAGGAGGAGGAGGAGGGGAGTGTGATAGATGGTGTGCAAGTCTGATACCTCCATAAACTAATTCACGCACAAGTCACCGTGCCTGCTTCACCTTCCTGTGGATCACACGATGGGCATCGTCGGATGCGACGGTCGAACTGTCGCGTTCGAAAGGTCCAAATGAAGTCTAGTTTTATAATGAACATGCATGTGAAGGTATGTGGCATTGTTTTTCACATCATGATGTCGAATAGGAGTTCTTTTTTACTCAAGAGAGTAGTAATGTAAACCTCTTCAGCCTATTAAAAGTTTTGTGGCTTGTAAGTGACCACTGTCTTTGCCCACCTAATTTACATATTTTTTTGAAAACTGCAGACATGTGTTCTGTGTACTCCAGTGGCAGACGAGGGCACCTCGAATAGGGGCCACGACATGTCCCGATTATAGACGTTTTTGGCTGTAGACACGTGGAATATATTTTTGCCGAAGCTGGCGGCCTTGTGTAAAGCACACTGCGTCGGCATTACAAATTACTGGCCTCTCTCTCTCCCTCCCCAGTCTCTGCAATTATTGTCCGTTTTTGTCCACCAATGTGCGCTCGCTGCCACTGTCTGTTCGCCAGTCACAAGACCGGTGGGACTGCCTGCTATGTCAAACCCTAAGTAATTTGCGTTTACCAATGTAATAATAATTTTTCACCTGTGTCGGTTTCCTTTTGATCAGACTGTGTTTACCACCCTTCGGTTCATCCAACTAAAATTGGCGCAGTTACTGAAGGAAGAGAGGCGGCGCTATCCCCCACTCCTTTTTGCCATCTTTATCCAATCGTAAAAATCGCCTCCACAAAAAAGGGCGTTGACGCCGTAATAAATCCACTAACACACCTACCTCTCCGTCATCTTCGTGAGCGTTAAAATCTTTGCAATCGACAAAAAGTGCGGTTAGCTCAATGTGACTGTGTGAAAAATCAAAGACTCACAATGAGAAAATTCGGGGAACCACATGTTGTTTTTGCCAGAATTACCGGAAATATTAAGTAGTTGCAGAAACGTTTGCTCCTCTACTTGCACGCCTTATGTAATGAAGTGTTTTTTTTTAAGTTGGACCCATCCGTCGTCCTCAGAGACAACCAACCCCAGAACTCTACACCACCAGGCCCTGCAGCTCCCGTCGCCAACGCTTCCGCATCGGAGACCTTGGAAGCCCCCCTTTCAGTTGCCTCCAAAGAACATAAATCGCGAAAGGTAGGTGACATAATCCTCATCTACCGTTTTATTACCGAAGCTAACAGCCTGTGAATGATTTTCGTGCCAATTCAGGCCCCCCGCCCGACCATTTGATCATTGTCTACTTTGCGAAAACTTTATTTCTGTCTGACTGTCGTGGAGTGCGTTATTAGTGGACTACAGTGAAACCCTATACCCTCTTCCATTGCAGTTTTCGTTATGCAAAGAGGATTCAGAGATTAGTATGACAAGATTAAATAGATCACCAGTTGCCAGCACTGGTATTAGCTAAAAACGCAGCCACGCGTGTTTTCCCGATCCTGCGACGCCACGCGGGGTTCGGCTCCTCCGTTCATGCATATGGGGCTGCAATCATCACACCAACTTCTGTGGCGAATAGCCATCCTGACTGGTCTGGCGTCATTGTTCAAGACCTCGCTGTCTCAAGGTCATTCACCCCTTGCAGCGAGCCGTCC